ATTCATAAATTTTCCCTTCACAGTTCCGCGAAGTTTCCCCAGACCATTGAACTCTAAAATACGATCTTTAACGTCTTTCAGGCCGTAGTGGTCTTCGTTCAATACAGTGATTGCATTCTTGATACCAAACGTCTCTGGACTCCTCTTACCCCATGGAATTTGCGTTATCCAATCAAGGTAATTTCTTGTGACGTTAAATTCCGAAGCTGCGGGTTCGAGATGTGCCAATTTATTTAGCTCTTCGTCAAACACCTTCTTCACGGCTTCAGGCATAGCAAGTTTCTCCGATTTCTCCTTGAACTTTTCCACTAGTTTTTCCTTGCCATCGGATTCGATACCAAGTTCACGTCGAATGCCCTTCATCTGCTCCATCAGCCAATATTCTCGTTGCCGCTTTTGAATTTTGGCTTCGACATCCTTCGATATTTTCGACTGCAGCTGAGCATTCATGAGTTCCTTTTTAAGTACCACAAGGGCTTTGGAAAGGCGTTCCTGGATATTCATCGTATCCAACACATCTTGTAACTCCTTGACCTCACCAGCGGAGACTGCAGCGGCGAAATCAGCCAGATTTGCGGGCTCATCCATGATATTGCCAGCGTGGCTCATGGAAAAGGTCGAGATCTGATCACGGAAAAGCGGGTTCAGATTCGCAATATCCTTAAAGACATTGACAATCTCATTCGTAACAGCGCGAATCATAGAATTTTCCTTGTCATATGGCTCCTCTGTGAGATTTTCCACATTGACTATGCTGACAGGATATTTGTGTAAAAAAGATGTTGGTTCATAGGGGGTCTCCTTAGGCAGCTGCTCCAACGCTGTTTCTTCAAAACTGGCGACAACATCGCCTTGTTTTTCGGGTGCTGCTTCCTTTGTAATCTGCTGGTCGATTTCAGCTTTCTGCGACGTGTCACGGGGTGGTATTAACGACGATATCTTAATTCTCCGGTGAGGATACAGCACCGCAGTCAATGCATTCTCGGTCCCATGTACAGGAAATACACTTGTGATCTGTGCAAACACACCAACATCATGTACCTCTTCCATATCCTCAATCACATCCCTATCCGCCGCTTCATCTCTGAACAAGAAAGCCCCGACATATGGCTGTCCGCGTTTCATCATTTCCTGTATAGCAGAGACGACATTGGGGTCCCGGACGGTAACTGCCTTGTAGTACCCGGGGAACAGCGGTCTCCGCGCAATTGGAATAGCCATAACCTGTGGGTACACATCCGGTATCGTAGCCTTTTGTAGCGCTTTTTCGGCAGAACTTTTCCTCCCCCTCCTCCCACCATCACTGCCGCTTCCAGAACCAGAGCGTCCTCCAGGAGCACTTGTGCCGCTGGGTTTTGAATCCGCGGGCGAGGCAGCAACGGGTATAGGTGATGGCGTCTCTGAAGTTTTATCCCTCCCTTCCGATGGCTTGCCAGGCCTTGGATTTTCCTCCTGATTCTTCTCTGTCTCGTTACCCTCCTCCTTCTCCTGTTTCAACTCCGGAGGTTGCGGCTTTTCTTTTCGGCGGGCAGTGGTCGATGAGAAATTTCGTGTTGCAGATGCAAATGGCGAATGATGTGGTGTCCGTGCCTCGAGACTCGAACTGATGTAAATCCGGTAGGGAGAGTGGGAAGGGTATTTACATGGGAGACTCCGCGACAATGTTTGGCGAAGGACTGCCCTCCATGGCAGGCTCTGGGCCCGAATCATAGTTCCGATATGAGCCTGGACGGGAGCTCTCAAATGAGTGCACGTGGCAGAGATTGGCATACAATCCGCACATCCACTATCTCCCAAACAGAGTTATAGAAGAGACACTCAGGCGGAGGAGAGTGAAAGAGTTGTGAAATTAATCAACAAGCGAATCTACATTTTCTCCTGTATGTTGAGATGGAGAGAATCCAATCGAATAACAGGACTCCGGCGTAACATTGTTCCGGAAACGACCAATATTAGTCATGCAACAATTTTTTTTCCGCAAGCGATGGAGGAGAACGAAACAATGCTACAAGGACCATCACCCTAACTACTAGATATCCAGCTATCCAGTTGTCTCGTATACCCGGTCTTGCCTCTGCATACAATCTGCCTATCTTAGCGCACCCTCCCGCATTGGTGCATTGCTCCTTTGTTTTAAAATGAGCGCGGGGGCTCCCAGTATACCCAGAACTGCCGTCATCCCGGCTCGCCTTCTCCGGACTTCACGACACTGCTCTAACCAATGTTCGTCGATACGATCTCAGATCCAGTCGAAATTCCGAAAATGATCCGCAAGGGGCTACCATGATAAAAC